TCCTCCGCCGCCCCGCCCGGCCCTCGGGCACCCTGGCCAGCCAGGCAGAGCCGGGGATGGCGGTTTTACAGCCTGTTAGGACTTGGTTTTTGCCCAGTAAACCCACACCGGGCCCCACAAACACCCTGCGGGAAGGCCAGGCCCTTCCCGAGAAACGGTTTCCTCCACCTTTACAACGTGAGAGGAAAAAAGGGGCCGTTGGATTTATGGAAACTATATAAAGTTTATGGAGTCTTGGCAGGCCAGAAGTCGAGAGGGTCTGCAGGGTGGGGGCAGGGAGTCCGCAGCCGCGCAGGCCCGGAGAGAGCAGCTGACCTCTGGGTCGAGACGCCAGACACGAGACCCAAGTCCACGGCAACGCTGTGAGGCTGGGGCGGGACGGGTCTTCTGGGGTGATCTCGCTTCAGCTCCGTATCGTTCCTGCGAGGGCAGCAGGGCTGGCCTCGTTCCTTAGCAGGGGACCGAGGCAGAGGCGTTTTGGGAGCGGCGAGCTGGCCAAGGTCGCGCAGCCAGTGGCGGGCGCTGTGCGGATGTTCTGGGCGTCCTCGCCGTCCCTCTCCTGTGTATCCGGCAGCGTGCCCCAGTTTTCGGTCCAGAAAAGATGCTCTCCACAGCCTGCTTCACTGCCTGCTATTTGTGGCTCCCTCTCAGGGTCCCCTGGGGTCCCTCCGTCACCACCGTGCCCTTGGTGGGTCAGCCTTGCCTTCGAAGTGGATCTGTGCTAGGTTCGCCCCCGGCCTTGGCTGGAGGCGGTCGGGACACCGAGTCACCCTCCCTGTCCCGCTCCCGTGGGAGACTCCCGGGGTCCTGTGGGAGCTCCCCACGGGGCCTGAGATCCCCGCCTTCCGTTGCCGTCGGCGTGGGGCGTTTCTCTTTGCGTGTGTGCCATGTATGCATCCGTGTTTTCTCTCTCTGACTTGGCTGTGAATTCTCAGAGCACAGATTCCATGAGGGCTTCATGCTTCATCTCTGCTTTTGACAATGGAGCCTGCACCATTCTCAGCATGTAGTATCAGCCAGGTGGATGGATGGACAGGTGGATGGTTGAGTGGGTGGGTGGGTAGGTGGACGGGCGGGTCAATGAAGGGATGCGTGGGGGGATGGACGGATGGACAGATGGACGGACTAACACAGGCGGGTGGATGGAAAAATGGGTGGGTGGGTGGATGGATGGGTGGATAGATAGGTGGGTGGACTGACAGGCAGGTGGATAGATGGAGGGACAGACAGGAGGGTGGAGGGATGCATGAGGCATGTGGACCATTAGACACCTACCCCATCATTGGCACCCCCGAGTGCAGTGAAACCTGCAGCCCAAACCAGGCTCTCCTGGGCTTTTTCTAAATGCACTTCTGTTTCAGGGGATACGCTTTGCTCTCTCTGAAGCCATATGGAGAAAGCAGCCAGAGCGTTTGAATGTGTGTGTAAATACTTTTTACAGTCCCCATAAACTTGTTTAAAGACAGGTGGGGGTGAAAGTATAAACTGGGGCAGCCTTGTGGGAGGGCAATTTGGAAGTCGCTATTAAAATTTTAAAGGTGCCCACCACTAAGACCAGGCAGCTCCACTCCGAGTTGTCACAGGTAAGAGATCTATTCTTACTGTTGGGCCGGGGGGCTGGTGCCTCAGGTGGGATGCAAAGAATTGCCCTGAAAACAGATTGGGAAAGACAGTTTATTTAGAACGTAGAGGAGAGAGAGAGGGTGGATCCACCTCTCCAGGACGGAGAGAGGCCAGAACTTAAAGAAAGCATGGCGGCCAGAGCCGGAGACTAGGAGCTTTTCGGACTTCCTGTAGGGGCAGGCCAGCATTCGCCGGGGCTCACGTCTGGTGATGGGTCTGCTTCCGGTTTGTCTCTGAGGACTGGATGGACGGGTGGGTCGGTCCCACAGACAAGAAGCGCTGGGCTGACCGCTGAAAGACAGATTCGTGGGGGATGTTGAATCGCAATGCTCTGGGACTCGCCCGGGGTTCCGGGAAAGGGTTATTGTAGTGTGTGAGGGCCATGTATCCAGCCATCCACCTGTCCATCTACTCACCTGGCAGTCCACCCACCCACCCGTCTACCCACTCACCCACTCGTCCGTCCATCCGTCTATCCGTCCGTCCATCCATCCCCCAGCTGATATTTATGCAGTGATTACTACATGCTGGAGGCCAAAGAAACTCCGCTCTGGGCTCTGTCCTTTTGCCGACAGTTGTCACAAAGAACCCTGTGCTCTCGGATGCTCACCACTGTGTTGCCTGGCACAGTGGGGAACTGGCCGCGGCCTAGCGTTCTGTGGGATACGGCCCCTGAACTACGGACCCCGGGCTGTGGCAAGCCCCGCAGCCATCACGGAGAGCGAGGTGGGCCTCCGCGTTCAGAGGAGGAATGCTCGGTGGGGCTTGGAACAGGACATGCTCAAGCTTCCAGAAGCCTCTGAGACTCTGCAGACACCTCCCACCCCCACCTACTTCTGTCAGCTTCATTTCCTTTCTCCCTCCCTGCTCCCTGATGAAGCAGCTTTCCAGAATTCCATCTTTTTTTTTTTTTGAGTTGGAGTCTCACTCTGTCATCCAGGCTGGAGTGCAGTGGCATGCTCATGACCTGGGTTCCAGCGATCCTTCTGCCTCAGCCTTCCAAGTAGCTGGAACTACAGGCGCGCGCCACCACGCCTGGCTAGTTTTTGATTTATCGTAGAGACAAAGTCTCGCCAAGTTGCCCGGGTGAGTCTCGAACCCGCAGGCTCAGGCAATCCACCCGCGGGCTCAGGCAATCCACTCAGGCAATCCACTCAGCCTCCCAAAGCGCTGGGAGGATGGGCTGAGCCACCGAGCCCAGCCTGGAATTCCATCTTTAATGCTGATGCCTGCTGGCCAGTGCCCTTCCCTTACAGAAAAGGAGGAAAACGGCCGAGAAGCCACTCTGTGCGTCAGTACTGGCTGCTTCTCTTCAGCAAAGAAGATGGCAGGGCGCAGTATGGACATGCAACTGACGGGCGCGCTGTCTGCCTAGCCAGGGGGCCAAGGGAGGCAGGACTGTCATTGTCCCAGAAAACAAGGCCACTTTTCTCCCCCAGAGGATACGCCAGCCCTCATTTTCTCCTTGGAGAAACGTGAAAGGGTTTGAGGCGTGAGTGTCATGTTCTTGACCTCAGGACTATGTGGTGCAGGCGTTGCCTGGCTCAGACATGGCCAGGAAGCTTCCAGAGAGGTGTGGGAGCCGGCCGCCGAGGCGGCTGCCGCCTCGGTCCACCACACACCCTGACCTGGACACGCTTCTGGGGGCCTCGAGGGTCCCAGGCCACCCCGGCCACAGAGCTCAGGCGGGAGTGGACAGAAAAGAGAGTCCCGAGTTCAGGTTGGCGGCTTGTGGGCTGTGTGCCCCTCGGTTTCTTCATCTGTAAAGTGGAAGCGGCAGCCTTGTTCCCTGCCGCGCTTTGGGTCAAGTCCCGACGTTCCCTGAGCTCCAGTTTTCCCATCTGAAGGGTCTACCAGACCCTGCCTCGGAGGGTGGTACCGGGGACTAAATTAGCTAACACGTGTGACGTGTCCGGTCGGTGCCGGCCACGTAGCCAGCGCTGGGCAGGTTTGTTAAAGATCACTGTGATGACGGTTGCAGCCGCCTTTGCTGTGGTTGGAAGCGCTGGCGTTCGGACCGGGGCCTTCCATTTCCAGGGCGCTGGCTGAGGTGGGGTGGACAGACCCGGGCGGGCATGGGGACCCCAGCGCTGCCTCCCTTCGGCGGACGGCTGAGCCAGTTGCTAGGCCTCTCTGAGGCCCGTTTTGCTCGTCTGTAAAATAAGTTTCACTTTGCAGGGTTGTTGTCAGGTTTATCTATTTTTATTTTTCAGAAAGTAGGGTTTACGGAGAGGACAGAAAAGCTCCCACAGTGGGAGGGGACCCGAGGGAGTTGCCCTGTTGTAAGGTTTAAAGTGGAATGGAAACCAAGTATCAGGGACGTAATGAGCGTCTGATGGGTGGCAGTGACCCTCGACCAAGAAGGATCTCTGCTGGGAAGCCTGTCTGGGCTATGTTGTCCCCTGGGAGGAGGGATCCGGTCCTGGTTTAGGTCCTTCTGGCTCACCGAGGCACCACAGCGGATGGCTGCGAATTCTCCCTTCCTGGAGGGGACAGATCTTCCTGGGCCTGAAGGATAATAGCTACAGGCTGGGCGTGGTGGCTCACGTCTGTAATCCCAGCACTTAGGAAGGCCAGGGCAGGAAGAATGCTCAACCCCGGGAGTTCAACATAGTGAGACCTCATCGCTACAGAGAATTTAAAAATTAGCCAGGCAGGAGGTTGAGGCAGGAGGATCGCCTGAGCCCAGGAGGTGGCGGCTGTGCTGAGCTGTGATGGTGTCACCGCCCTCCAGCCTGGGCGACGCAGTGAGACCCCCAACTCAAAATACAATCATCATAGCTGCAAATAAAAACAGCAGCCGAGGTGTCGCGGACTGTGTAGAGTCAGACATGCCGGATTCCAGAGTCCTTCCGACCATCAAGGGTGGCTGAGACGTGAGGGCGGGTGGCTCACCCGGGCACACAGAGCTGGGGGGGTGACGGGCTCCGAGTCGGCCCGGGCCGCCCGCCCTGTCCTTCCCACCCATCCTGCCTGTCCCTGACCCTCCCCGGGGAAGGGGCGGGTTCCCTGGCTGGCTCCTCAGACCCTCCCTGCCACCCGGTGGCTGTGCGGGGCCATCGTTGCCCTGTGGGACTGACCTCCACCCCTGCTCCCGCCCTGGATCGTGGGACGTCCACGTGCTCCTGTGTGGCTGTGTGGAACCTTGGGTTCTGTGCGTCTGAATGCGTGGATCTCCCCGGGGCTTAGGAATCGTCTGGGGCGAATGGGCTCTGGGCGCCCCGGAGGCGTTGCCAAGCACCCCGTTTCCGAGAAGGGCAGTTCTTACCTGGGACCCTCGGGCTCCTGTCCCCCTGGACTCTCCCCGGGGAAGGGGGCGGGGTTCCCACCTGTCCCTCTCCCCCGCCCCCGGGCTCACAGCATCTCTCTGTTTTCAGTGGAGAGGGAGACCGTGCAGAAGAGAACCTTCACGCGCTGGATCAACCTGCACCTGGACAAGGTAACAGCTGCGTGTGCTCCAGGGCAGGTCGGGCTTGCCCCAGTTTCCAGTCTGGCGAGCGGGGAGGGCCGCCGTGGCCCCCGGGGTGGTCGCTGTTTGTCCACGTGGCATTGGTGAGCGCCTCCCACTGCTGGGATCCCAGAGACGGATTCTGCCCTGCTGGGGTCCCAGGCTAGCAGGGGAAGGGAGAGGCTCCATCTTTCCATTGGAATCTGAGCAGAGGTGGGAAGATGCTGGTCTGGGACGCCCCGGCAGTTCGCGGACAGCAGGTAGCTGTCCTTGGGCCGCGGCCTCGGTGGGCGTCTGACTTCTGTTGGGGGGTCTGTTCGGCGCATTTGTTGGCGTTTGAATTGATTTGTGCCAGAACTCTGGACAGCTTTTCACAAAGCCAGATTGCCTTGTTAATCACATAATGCTGCTGTTGATGAATAATACATCCTGCCTGCCTTAGCTAGGCGTGGTGGTGCGTGCCTGGCATCCCGGCTACTTGGCAGGCTGAGGTGAGAGGATTGCTTGGGCCCAGGAGGTCGAGGCTGCAGTGCGCTATGGTCAGGCCACCGCGCCCCAGCCTGGATGACGGAGCCAGACCCTTTCTCCGAATGATGTAACAACAACCACTCGGCCCACCCCTTCGAGGAGTGTTTCCCTCCACAGCAGACATCTCAGTGCCACATATGTGCCAGGTCCCCTTCAATCCCCATGACAACCCAGATGACCCCTCTCCTGTCAGGAGGAGGAAGGAGGCTCAGAGGCGTCGCCTGGCATTCCACAGCGTCCAGTGGCTTCTCCTTGTATAACCAGGTGGCCCTTCCCTTCCCCTGGGCTTTGCTTCCGGCCTTCCTCGGCCAGACCGTCTTGGGTGCGCGTGGTCGGCAACCCTCCGGTGCGCACACCCCCAAACCAAAGCCGCCGCACCGGCTCCCCCAAGAGACAAAGCCGAGGAGAGGCGCCAGAGAGGGGCACAGCCCTGGGGCGGGGGCGGGGGCGGGGGCGGGCAGAAATGGCAGCCCTCTTGTTCCCCAGGCTGGACCCCAAGACTGCGCGCCCGGGGCTGGGAAGGGACACGGCTTGTCTCTTTTCCTCAGGTCCCCGCCTCCTCCTTAATCACCACGGTGAGCTTCTCCAACTGCACCCAGTCAGAAGTCACCTTTTTTCTTTCTGAAACTGGGAGCCGCCCCCCTGGTGTCTCAGGGATGTCCCCTTTCTCCTCTGAAAAGGTCCCAGAGCCACGGCTGATGCCCTTATGGTTAGCAAAAAAGAAAGAGATCGCTGAACGGGCTGGAAAGCAGAGAAAATAAATGTGGCTTTAGGAAGCGGCGCTCTTGACCGCAGCTCGGACCCAGAGCTCTTTTTGCACTTGGCCACCCACACCCGTCTCCCACCTGTGCAGGGGCCAGCACTTAACCCAGGGCGTCCCAGGCGCACCAGGTGAGACGGCCGAGCGCACATGGGGTGTTGGAAACCCCGCGCCCGTTGTTTTGACTGTCGGTGCGTTTTTGCCCGCGCTCAGAAGCGAAGTGTTATTTTTGGGAGGGGAAAAAAAGGCAAGCCAGTTCCCAAACCTGAGATCACCGAACTCCTAAATTAATGCCTGATGTGTGTCAGACGAGCTGGAAATTCCTGCTGGGGGCCCCGGGTGCAGCCCTGGAAGCTTTCTTTTTTTAATTAAAAAAATAAATACAGCCAAGTACAGTGGGTCATACGGCAGATACACACGCAGAAACACACCACCCCGAATGAAGCCCTGTCGGCATTGGCCGTGGCCGGGACGTCCCCCGTGGCCAAGTTCCAGCCCTTTCTCGGGGTGGGTGGGCAGTGCCCCCTCTGAAGACACCCCAGATGGCACCTGAAACCGATGCCTGAGAAACGAGGCAAAGTGAACAGCCATGCTTCCAACCTTGAGACTTTCAAGATCAACCTTTCATGTAAAGGAAACCGGGAACTCCTTGGCGAATTGGGCTTAACTGCAATTTGAAGGCTGTCAGAAATATTTACCGAGTCTCTGGCTTCTGGAAAAATTCCTTAATTTACCGAAGGAGTTAGATCATGAAGAAAGCCCAGGGGGTGCTGTTTATCCGGCCATACCGATCTCATGAAGCCCGTGGACGCTCCGGGCCCGACGGGTGTTTGCACTGGCACGGGCTCAACGCCCCCCCCAGTTGGACCCCGGCCAAGGCTCTGCTCACGGCCGCTGTCGGGACCCTCACAGGAACCCTCGATGGAAATTATGCTTCAGGTCCGACTCAACAGTGAGGCTTGGCCACGGTCAGGGCTGGTAACTGGAAATTTTGTTAGTCCATTTATCAGGGGGTGTTTTGTTCGGGTCTCGCGTTTTCTGCCTCACATTAGCAGGAATAAATTTCCGTAAGAGCCTGGTAACCCGACGCCGTCATGCTCAGCACGGAATGTACCCAAGGAGCCACGGCAGTTTGCAAAGAAAATAATTGGCCTTTTGGCTCAAGTTCGCGTTGCCCTTGAAGCAGAGCCGTTTTCCACGCACCTGTGGGTGGACGCGCCCTGGATTTTGACTAACTGGGGATAGAGGGACTCGTATAAAGGGTAAGGAAATGCCCTCTTCCTTAATAAAAAATACAACACAGGCCTCCAAGGTTTCCAGGGATGGAGGCCTTCCCCAAGGAAAAGGGTGGCCGGGCCACAGTTCTGTTGCGTTTCCAGCAGTTTCCTGGCCCCTGGGTCTCGGCTGCCACCTCCCCACGGACCCAAGGCCGCCGTGCCCTGCAAATCCTGTGTCCTGGTGAATGTGCTCAATCTTCCCCTGTACCCAGGAGCAGGGAGAGCACCCAAGACTAACTGCTCTGACCTTGCCAGAGCCCCCAGCGTCAAAAGGAAAACAGGGGACTCATGCTGGGGTGGGAGCTGGCCAAACGTGGCAGCTCACACCTGCAGTCCCAGCACTTTGGGAGGCCAAAGCAGGAGGGTTGCTTGAGGCCAGGAGTTCAAGACCAGTCTAGGCCACAGAGTGAGGATCTGTCTCTAAAAAAAAAAAAAAAGCCGGGGTCCGTGGCTCAGCCTGTAATCCTAGCACTTTGGGAGACCAAGGTGAGAGGATTGATCGCCTGAGCCCACGAGTTCGAGACCCGCCCAGACAACTTGGTGAGACCTCGTCTCTACAAGAAATCAAAAATTAGCTGGGGGTGGCAGCGCGCGCCTGTAGTTCCGGCTACTTGGAAGGCTGAGGTGGAAGGATCGTCAGAGCCCAGCAGGTCTAGGCTGCGGTGGCTGGGAGTGTGCCACTGCTCTCTAGTCTGGGCGCCAGAGTGAGACTCCAACTCAAAAAACAAACAAACAAAAATATGCAGGACTCTGCTGCATTAAAGGGAGTTAGCTTATGTAGTCAGTGGAAACCTTTCTTTAAACCAAGCCTTCCCTGAAACCCTAAATAGAATCATCCCCCTGTATCTGCGGGTTTCACATTCATGGATTCAACCAATTGCAGGTCAAAAATATTCGGGGGGAAAGTTGCATTTGACCTTCTGAACACACACACATTTTTTTCTTGTCGTTATTCCCTGAACAGCCCAGTGTCACCGCTATTTACCTAGCATTGCTATTGCTTGGGTAATATAAATAACCTAGACATGCTTTAGAATATATGGGAGACTGTATGTGGGTTACATACAGACACTATGCCATCTTTTTTTTCTTTTTTAATTTGAGTCCGGGTCTCACTCTGTCACCCAGGCTGGAGTGCAGTGACAATCACGGCTTACCACAGCTTCAGCTTCCTGGGCTCAGGTGATCCTTCTGCCTCAGCCTCCCTGGTAGCTGGGACTACAGGCATGTGCCACCATGCCCGGCTAGATTTTTTTTTTTTTTTTTTTTGTAGAGGTGAGGTCTCACTGTGTTGCCCAGGCTGGTCTGGAACTCCTAGACTCAAACAATCCTCCCATGGCGGCTTCTCAGAGTGCTGGGATTCCAAGTGGGAGCCACTGCACCTGGCTGCTGCACCATCTTTTATCAGGCACTTAAGGTCTGCAGATTTTCATACCAGGGGAGGTCCTGGAACAATCCCCCACAGATACCACGGGGCGACTGTCCAGGCCAGTCAGAACTGAGCCTCTCGGCTTAAAGGGGTGCGGTGGATATGCGTCCTCCTCAGCCCTGCTTGCTCGTGGGGTGCCCTGAAACTGCTCTGAGCCCAGGGCTCCGGGGAACACAGTTTGCAATCCCTGTACTGGCATGTCGGACCTACAAGTTCTAGTCGGTTGCCCTGGACAGCAGACCCCAGTCTAGGCCTGGAGAGAAGAGCCCAGGACGCTTCCAGATCTTTCCCGCCCAGCCCCCACTCCAGATCTTGCTTGGTGAAGTGCCTTTTCCCCGGAGAGAGGGAGGTGGTGTCGGCGAACTGAGGCCAGGCTTCGAGGTACAGACCCAGGGAGCCCGGAAGCCAAGTGAGGGGACGGAGAGAGGATGGCTCGAGAGCTGTCCACTGCAGAGGGGCTGCGGACGTCTCCGTCCCCCGACACCCACGAGGCATGTCCCCAAGCGCAGACCCTCACTGAGGAGGATGGCCCCACTCTGTGGGGAGGGAGCCAAGGGTCAGCCGTGGGCCTGGTCTGAGAGGCAGGTGGGCTTTCCCTGCCCCGGCTCACCTCGTCCCAGCACCACCCGGGGGAGCCTGCTCAGAGTCCCGGCCTGACCTTGCAGACAAGGACACATGGGCCCCGGACCAAGTCCTTGTGGGGGTTGAGCTTGGATGTGAACTTGGGTGCATCCAACCCTCTTGCTTCCTGTTGGATCGTGGGGATGGTGCCCGTGGTGTTGCCGGTTTCTTTCAGGAAGCGGAGCGCTGGGGAAGAATGGGAAGTGTGCCGCTGTGTTTTGTACATTAACCAGATTGGTTTTTGGTGTTTTTTTTGAGTTGGAGTCTCACTCTGTCACCCAGACTGGAGTGCAGTGGCCGCTCCCGGCCACCGCAGCCTCGACCTGCCGGGCTCCGGCGATCCTTCTGCCTCAGCCTTCCGAGTAGCCGAAACTACAGGCTCGCGCTACCACGCCCGACTGATTTTTTATTTATGGTAGAGATGAGGTCTCGCCAAGTTGCCCAGGCTGGTCTCGAACCCGCGGGCTCAGGCAATCCACTCACCTCAGCCTCCCAAAGGCGCGGGATGACAGGCTGAGCCACCGAGCCCAGCTTAGATTGGCTTGTTTGAATGGGCTTGTTTTACTTTTGTAGCCAAATATAAAGGCATATAAATGTATACACGCACATAGAAGCTGGCCTCTCAGCCTTTGAGTTCCTCATACACTTACACGTGGGGTGAGGAAGGAACCCTCGGTCACCCAGCCATTCGGAGGCCAGCCGTGTGTCCACCCATCCATCCCACCAGCCGTGTCCATATACCAGACCCCCCACCCTCCCCTGCTGCGGACCCCATTTCAACTAAATATCGACGGCATGGCGATGAGCACCGCAGGAGGGTGCAGGACCAGGGCGGGAGCAGTGTGGGAGGTGGGAGCCCAGCGAGGACCAGCCCCAGGGTCACACCGTCACCGTGTGCATCTGGGGTGTGCTGGTGTCCGGCCTGCGTGACCCTGATGCAGGGAGCAGGACGATCCCAGACAGCTAGCTTGACCAAATGCTGGGACCATCACCCCGCCTCTCACACGCAGTTTCCCCAAGTCTGAAGTGGAAAGGGTTTGCAGCAGGTCATTTCCTGCAAGCCCAAATAGAATGATTCTGTTCAACGGAAGACGATAGCCGAGACACGCCGTCCCCTTGTCCCCTTAAGCAGAAATGTGGGTGTGATCTCATCTTGGAGTCTGAGGCCTCGGGTGAGAAGGGGCCGCGAGGGCCACTTAACCGATGGATCCCTGCAGCTGAATGTTCTCTAGGGCTCTCTTGCCAAGCGGCTGGATACTGCTGCCTGGGCATCACCTCCTGGGGCTAGGCCTTTCTGCCTGCAGGCAGAGCGGGATGTTTGGGCGTTTTCTCTCGAGTGGGAAACCGGCGTCTCGGAAACACAGGGATGCCCAAAACACGAACACGCATTTTAAGCGCTGTTACCTGCCTCTCGCTTTTGGAAGTTGGATTAAATTATGGTAGCCACGTGTAGCGTGACGTTCCCTCAGCCACGCCTCCGCCAGTTCCTTTGGCCTGTCGCAGGGTGACACCATCGTTCATTTCATTAGCGCCGTCTTTGGAGCCAATGTCAGGCTGAAGATGTGTGTGCATTTGGGGGGCACCCCCGTCGTTCTGTGGACGGCACGGGTCGCTCACTGGCTGTTTCTCTCCCCTGTCTCTCATAGTGCAACCCACCTCTAGAAGTTAAAGATTTATTTGTGGATATACAAGATGGCAAAATCCTGATGGCTTTGTTGGAAGTCCTGTCTGGGCGGAACCTGGTACGTATGTCACAGAAGGGTCAGTAAGGCGCCGAATGTAAGAGAAGACGCTCTGTTCAATACAGATACCTAGGTGTGTGTATGCTCTGGACGTGCCAAAATCCCATAGCAAGAAACTTTGAAGGGGGACAGTCCTCTATCAGTGACCAGGAGTGACATCATCTTGTGCAAGTCAGCAGGGTCTTTTTTTAAAGCACACCTATATTTTAGTCAATAAATAAATGCCCAGTGTTTTCTATGAGTCTCTTCAGGCTTCAGCTAGAGCTAGGGCCAGGCATGGTGGCTCATGCCTGTCATCCCAGCACTTTGGGAGGTGGAGGCAAGAGGATTCCCTGAGCTCAGGGGTTCAAGACCAGCCTGGGCAACATGACAAGACCTCGTCTCTGCAATAAAATTAAAAAATTAGCCAGGTATGGTGACGTGCACCTGTAGTTCTAGCTATACTGAGAAGGCTGAGGCGGAAGGATCACCTGAGCCCAGCAGGTTGAGGCTGTGGTAGCCAAGTTTGTGCCACCACATTCCAGCCTGGGCGACAGAGTGAGACTCCAACTCGGAAAAAATCAACTGGAAAGTTAGTTTAGACATTATATTAATTAGAATGATAACTACGAATCAGAAAGATTGAAGAGAAAGGCCGCTTACCAGCCGAATTCTGTTATCCGCCCTAAGGCTAAAACTAGAACATTCTGGAACATTCTTTGAAGTAAGACTGAAGTTGAATTGAACCAGGTGACCTCGACATTCACCCCACCTTGGGTGTTGGCCAAACCTCTGCATGGGGCCATGCCTGCCCTTAGCGGATTGGCCCTGTGACGGTTCACCCAGAGCAGGGCTTCTCGGCCGTGGCACTGTTGGCATTTGGGGCCACCCAGCTCTCTGTCGTGGGAGCGTCCTGTGCGTTCCAGATGTTCAGGAACCGGCCACTAAGTGCCAGCTGTGCCCCCGTCCTTGGTGCGACCACCCTAAATGTCCCCAGATTGCCACATGTTTCCCGAGGGAGCACGCCGACCCAGTGCGAAATGCCAGGGGCATTAAGATTGAGCAACCCTGTCCTGGAGTCCGGGGTTCGGTCTGGCCTGGGCGACCCATTGTGCCTCACGTGCAGTGACGTGGCCCCGACTCTACCAACCCATCGTTCTGCCAGCAAGGCGTCCTCCGGATCTGTTTGTAGCTGTGAGTTCAAAGTCGAGGGCCTCTCTTCCGTCCCCTGAGGACGTAGCTGGACTTGGACCTGCACGCCGAACCCTTCCCAAACAGCAGACGGGGAGATTCCCTCGGAGCCACGTGCAGAGGCACTCGGCAGGACCCCCGAGGCACTCCAGGGAAGGGCAGACACCTTGCTGCAAAAACGTGGCTTCGTGGCAGGTCTCCCGATGGGCCAGCACCGTGTCCCCAAAAGGCTTCCCAGGAAGATGTGTCCTGGGCCCTCGTCCTGTGCCCCGGCAACACGGGCACCCTCTTGGCGGCCAGAGCCGTGGCCGCTGTGGTGTCCTGGGCAGGCCTCTGCTGGGAGTCTTTGATCCTGGAGCCGGCCAAGGACAGGCCTCCACTGCCGTGTGAACTTGGCCTGGCCGCTCAGGGTGGTGGACGAGGGCTAGGGGTTTTCCTGGTAACCCAACCTGGGAGGGGCTTTGACCTCACCCCTCAGGGTGAGGTCGCTGGAATGGCCCTTCCCGGGCATGGCGTCAGCATGTCAGAGTTTTAGCTTCTGTAGACTTCTCTGTCTCTCTCTCTCTTCCTCTCTGTCTCTCTTTCTCTTTCTCCCTCTCTCTCTCTCTGTCTCTCTCATCTTCTCCTCTGTGTGTGTCTCTCTCTCTCTCTCTGTCTCTTCCTCTCTCTCTGTCTCTCTCCTCCCTCTGTCTGTCTCTATCTCTCTGTCTCTCCCCTCTCTCTCTGTCTCTCCCTCTCTCTCTGTCTCTCTCCTCCCTCTGTGTCTCTCTATCTCTCTCCTCATTCTGTTTCCTCTCTCTCTCTGTCTCTCTCTCTCTCTGTCTCTCCCTCTCTCTATCTCTCTGTCTCTGTCTCTCTCTCTCTGTCCCTTTCTGTGTCTCCCTGTCTCTCCCTCTCTCTGCTCTCTCTCTCTCTCTCCCCCCTCCCCCCGCCCCTCGACCTGGGCTAACTGTCCACAAAACTCTTGGCTGGAAAACAGAAACATCTGCGGCCGCTGGGGAGGGCCTTGCTGGTGATGGAGCAGCTGCGTGGTGATGCTGACAGCTTTTGCTCCCTGCCCTAAAAGCCTCCGTTCAGTGAGGAGGACATGTTACCCGGGGGGGTCTCTGGAGAGTGGAGGAGCCTAGCAAGCCAGGAGCTGGGTCAGAGAATCCCCTGTTAACCCGCCTCGGTTCCCCGCCCACCGCCCCAGTGAGTCAAGCCCCTAGACGGTAAGGAAGGCCGCCCTTCGAGGCCGCTGGTGATTCGCTGCATGTCCCGAGGCGTGGGCTTGGACATGGTCCAGGTGGGCTTCAGCCGCAAGCCCCCGGCATTTTCCTGAAACCCACGTGAAGACGGTAAGGCCCCGCGCCGGCGGCACGTGGGCGCCGGACGTGCGTGTTGGCCTCACGCGCTTGCTCTGCTCTGTCTTGCAGCTGCATGAGTACAAGTCTTCGTCACACCGTATTTTCCGGCTAAACAACATAGCAAAGGCACTTCAGTTTTTGGAAGACAGCAACGTAAGTGTTTGAAGCGCGTCCTGTCCACACAAACTTGTCCCACTAGGAGAGGATGTCATTGGACGCTGAGTGCCGGTCGCGGGAGAAGCATGGACCGCAGACTCGGCTGGAAGGGTCAGACTGAAAGAAACTACACTTAGACCTAATGGGAATCGCTCAGGTCACCCATCGGTTGGGAACGGGTCCCCGACGGCCCCCTCCACCCCCCGAATCCATCGGGATTAAAACTGACGAGTATTCCACCATGAAAGGGCAGAGCAGGTGACTGGCTCTCAGATCTCGGGGCTTTGTGGACATTTTCTTTTTATTCCCCGAATCAGAGTGTAGTGAGCATGGCCGAGGGTAAAACTTCCTCTCGGAACTTGGAATACAGGAGAAAAGGGGGAGAGGGGGAATTGATCGCCTCCTTCCTCCCTTGACATAACGTTCCAGACTTAAACGAGCTTTTCCTGGGCCCAGACACTGCCTCATGTCATGTCCTTCACAAGTGGGAGGGTTGCCAAGGGCGAGACCTGCCAAAGACCCCCGTTAGGTTTCACCAGCTCCTCTGGGTGAAAAGCCCCTGAGCTGGCCTGACGCACCGGCACGTACAGTACGACTGTCCAAGAGTGTGGGTCTCTTGGGGTCTTCTCGGGCAGTTACAGCGCGGACCTCGGCCGATCCCAGCGGGAGAGGAATTGGTGGGAAAGATACGGAGTTGCTCACACAGCCCTTGAGAGACAGGGAATCGGGGAGAGAGTCCAGGGGTGCTCGGCCTGCGACTGTGCCGGAGTCCCCTGGAGGGTCCAGTGGACACCCCCAGCCTGGGGAAGGAGCCCTCCGGGCTGTGTGGTCGTCTCGGCAGCGTGTGTCCAGACTCAGAGGCCTGGCCGGGACTGTGTGACTGCCGAGCCCGGGTCCCTGGTGCAAAGGAGACTGGAAAGCACTTCTGCCTTCTGGAGGGGCGGTGGGCTCTGCCTCCCAGGAGCCCCCTCCCGATAGATAGAGAGGAGCGTTCCAGGCAAAGAGGACAGGTCCGGATGGTGGTGGCCAGTCGGCACACCCCAGTTCACAGCAGCTCGATCCCAGTAGCCGGAGGGTGGAAGCGCCCCACATGCCCGTCTGCAGACAGAAAGATCCCCAGAACGGGATCCAGCCTCGTGGTGGAATATTACTCAGCCCTAAAAAAGAAAGCAGCACAGAGGCATGCTACAGCATGGCCGAACCTGAGAGCCCTGTGCCGAGTGACAGAAGCCCGAGCAGAGGGCCACTTACAGGTGACTCTGTTTACCCAGCATGTCCAGGATGGGGGGGGATAGCTCAAGAGACGGAAAGCAGGCCGTGGCCTATTGGTCAGTCTGTTCTGTGCTGCTGCAAAAGAGAACGTGAAACGTGGCGATTTGTAAAGAAAAGAGGCTTATTTTGGCTCACAGCCCTGCAGACCGTACCGGAAGCCCAGTGCTGGCCTCTGCTTCCAGGGAGGCCTCCGGGAGCTTCCAGTCAAGGCAGAAGGGGAAAGGGGGCGGGCGTGATACGTGGCGAGAGAGGAAGTGAGAGAGTGGAGAGGCTGGGCTCTTCCACCCATGCCGCTCTCGGGTGGACGCACACGTGAGACCTCGTGTCACCAAATGCTTCCCGCCAGGCCTCCCCACCGGCATGGGGGCCGTGTTTCAACAGGGATTTGGAGGGGAAGGTATCCGGAGTGGGTCAGGGTGGTTTATGGCTGAGGGGAGACCGGGAGGTGAGGACTGGCCGCTGGGCCTGTGGGCTTCTTTTAAAGAGGATGAAGCTGTTTCAGAATGGAATACAGTCACGTGCTTGCGTGCCTCTGAGAGGACAGGAGGCACCACCGAGCTGTGTGCGTAAGTGGTGAATAGGGTGGGTGTGGATGGCATCTCAGTAAGGCCGTTTACAGAGAAAACCCTCCCCGTCCTTGGACGGCTCCCTGTCTGTGGGGCCCGTCACTTCCCCGGCTCCGACCCCACGAGGACCAGCGCGGGCCCAGAGCAATGCCTCTTTCCAAACCTGGCTCCCCGCCCCTTCCAGGAACTGTGGGAAAATCACGTGGACTCTCGGAGTCTCAGTTTCCACATCTGAAACATAGAGGGAACAGAAACAGGACCTAGCTGGGGCATCATGGCGTGCCAGCCAGGAGGAGACCGGCCACACACCAGCACAGGAAGGGCTCCTTGCCACCACGCCACGCTTGATGGGCCGTGATGATAGCGGGTGCCCACGTGCTCCTGGCACGCGCGTCCTGGGTGGCTCTCCGGAGCGGCGTCCACCCTGGACTCCAAGGCCATGGTTTTTGTGGGAACTGGGCCCTGGCCACCGCGGCCTAGGGTACGTGGCCTTCCTCTCCCCTGCTCTGTCGGCCACCACGAGGAGGAGTCTGCCAGAACGCTGGCAAACCCGCCTCCTGCTTCTGTCAGTTCCCAGGCCGGCTGCAGGTTGTTTCCACCGTCCCTGGGTCACACGTACGGAGCGCCTTGTGCGGGTGCCGGGCTGTGCTCAGTGCTTGGCACAAACGTCTCTGTCTTAATTCAAGGGGCTTAGGGCCGGGTGGGGGAGACCGCTCAGGAACAGCGTGCTGTGCGTCCCGCCAGGGGCATGGAGAAGAGGACAGTCCTGCAGAGGCCAGGACAGACAGCCGAAGGGGACGGGGCCTGTGCGGAGCTTGGTAGCATGACCTGGCACCATAAAGGCTTGGGGAGGCCTGGCTTCCTGCCATCCCTGCCACCGGAATGTCTCCCAGACCACCCACAGCTGCCGCCTCGTGGGACATGGAGTGTTAAGGGCTTCCCCCACTCCCTGTACATTTGGTGGAAACCTCTGGGAATGTTCCAGAGGCGCGTGTGCTTTGTCGGCGTTGTGCCCACGGGCCACATTCCCCGGGCAGGTGGGACAGGTGAATGGCGCCGGGGGAAGGGGACGAGACACGTAGAGGCCAGCATCCCGGATGCAACCTCTGTCCCGTTTTCAGAACCCACAAGAGGCCGGTGGCCCGTGCGGCTCCCTTCCTGGCCCATGGTCCCACTCCGGGAGGGGTGGGCCCCAGAGGCCCAGGCCTGGACACCAAGGCCCAGCAGCCGCCAGATCGCGTTTACTCCGGGACTCAGACGCAGTTGGGTGCTGTGACCACCCAAGACCCCCACCCCAACAAGTACAGGCCACAGACCAGGGTGTTTCCTGCCACGTCCGAGATGGGCTTCTCCACGGGACCAGCTCTGTGACCTCCTGCCAGCCATTTGCCTCTCTGAGCCTCAGCTGCCTCGTCTGTGAAATGGGTAGATGGTGCGCATCATGGCGCTGACCTAGGAAAGCCTCTGGGCCGGCAGTCCGCGCTCCACAGGGCAGCCGATCCCGTGATGGCCATGATCAGGCACCGGGCCCCTGAGTTACCCCCCGGGTTGTGCCAGCCCAGAGACGGGGAGGGACAGTCCCATACACCCGTCGGTTCGTTGGTCTCCACCCTGGCAAAACCGGCTGAGTTAGGAGGAGGAGGAGGAAGACGTGGTCCCCAGAGCTCTTGACCGAAGCCTGGTGGTTTTTATTTTTTTGAGTTGGAGTCTCACTCTGTCGCCCAGACTGGAGTGCAGCGGCCACTCCCGGCCACCGCAGCCTCGACCCGCTGGGCTCCGGCGATCCTTCCGCCTCCAAGTCTGGTTGTTAACTTGCCTACTCACGACCGAGAACAAAGAGCAGCTGTCGCTCCTTGGGGGCCTGGGAGCCCCTGCCATCAACTCCTTCCCCCACCCGGCTCTCCAGCCCTCGTGGCCAGAAGAGGGCTCCGGTCACCCAGTGGCCTTCCCAAGAGCCCGTGCCTCCCCGCTCTGCCGGCCACCTCCTCCTCACCTCGGAACCTAGCACAGAGGGCCGCAGCCATCACCAGCCATTTGGGCTTCCTCCAGGTGACAGCAAAGGTGTTCCCTGGAACGCGCAGGGAAGCCCCTTCGGCTCCCCTGGACCGGCAGGTGGCCCGCGAGTCCCAGACGCAGAGGGCGCCGGTGGCGGCGGCGGCGGCTCGGGGATGGCAGGCCACGGCTCGCAAGCGATGTGTCACGCGTGTGCGCGCGTGATGAATGTGGCGGAGCATCGGGCCTGCCTTTGATCGGCGACGTGACTCAGCATCGACAGCCTCCTTCCTGGCCTCCAGCCTGCCCGTGATGGGCCCGTGCTGTCTGGCTTATATTCTTGGCATCCGCCGGCCAGACAGACTTCAGCCGGGGAGCCTGGGCGTCTCCCTCGATGCAGCAGGCCCGGGCCTAACTGATGGGCATGGTCAGAAACCCGAGACCAACAGACGGTTTGAAAAGCCGTGGGAGGGAGCGGAGACGCTTGGCAGGAGATGCTCGTCTCTGGTTTTCCTTCCCGAGTCTCCCAGGCAGAATTGTGCCGTGCGCATCTGAAAGGACAGCTTGCCTGACTTGGTTTCTCCTCGCTTCCCCTGAAGACTGATTTCACCTTGAGTCTTCAGGGTTGGGGTCGTCGGGAGAGGGAGGATGTGGCAGCTGCTGGTGTCGCCCGCAAGGCAAGGACATCTCCTCCTGCCCTTTGCAGAGATGTCTGCAGAGCCCTGGTCTGTGGCAGTGCTTGGATATTGTTTGCAGAGTGGAACAGTGGCTGAGGGCGGCGGCCCTCCTGCCTGAGCGGCTCAGAATCGCCTGGCGCCTGCTACAGGGCACTTGCCAGGCCCCACGCCTGGAATTTCCCGTGCGTAGGGCCAGGAGAGAAGGCCATAACCAGCCCTTCCCACGTGATGCGACGGGTCCCGGGGCCGGCTTGGCCTTAGGGGTTGACCAAGAGCATCATTGTGGTCAGAACATAGATATATGGGTAACTCCCGAAGATTTCTATAAGAGGCATTCTGGGGTGGGGGGAGGCAGAGATGGGGTCTTGCTGTGTTGTCCAGGCTGGTCGCAGACTCCCAAGCTCAAGCAGCTCTTCTGCCTTGGCCTCCCAAAGTGCTAGGATGATAGGCGTGAGCCAGGGCGCCCAGCCAAGAGGCGTGTTTGAAGTGGCCAGTGGGATTTGTGGTAATTGTGTGGAGACGCGGGGTGCGACCTTTAGCCCAGCACGCAGTTTATAATTCCTCAGTGAACTTACCAAGCCACAGTCTGCAAATGCCGGTGTCGGAGCTAAACCCGGGTTTGGGCGGGTTCCATGTGGCTACAGACCTGCTGGCCGCTGGCTCTCTGTCCTGGGAAAAGGCTAGACCTGGGTAACCCTCTAGGGTTCCCTCCCACCGTGGGAGCTTTCCCGTCCTCTTGATAAATCCTGCTTTCTGAAAAAAGAAAAGACTAGACCTCACTAGCTGTGTGACCCTGAGCCCGTCACGATGAACCTCTTGGAAACGTGGGGACAATGCAGGGCCTTACCTTCCCGGCCGTGGGGAGGGTCACCTGTGTGAACACTTGGTAGGAGTCTGGATCGTGTCTGCGTGCGGTGAGCACCATGTCATGTTCGTGAAATCCGCTTTTTAAAAATAAGGAGATGAAGCCGGGCTCGGTGGCTCAGCCTGTCATCCCGCGCCTTGGGAGGCCGAGGTGAGTGGATGGCCTGAGCCCGCGGGTTCGAGACCCGCCCGGGCAACTTGGCGAGACCTCATCTCTACGATAAATCAAAAAATGAGCCGGGCGTGGTAGTGTGCGCCTGTAGTTCCAGCTCCTGGGAAGGCTGAGGCGGAAGGATGGCCGGAGCCCAGCGGGTCGAGGCTGCGGTGGCCGGGAGCGGCCACTGCCCTCCAGTCTGGGCGGCAGAGTGAGACTCCGACTCAAAAAAAAATAAGGAGATGCATTATCGAAATGTAGCTGGAAGGCTGAAATCGGGCTGAGTTGAGGACTGGCTCTGTTCGTCGGCTGATGAGGCTGTACTTCTTTTTTATGTTTCTTTGAATAGCGTTGGGGGCACGCGTGGCTTTGGGGTTGCACGCTTGCTTTGTGTCGTGTGCAGAAGCCTGGACTTGTGTGTACCTACCCCCGACCCGTGCAAACTGTACCTCCCTCCTCCCCACCCCCTCCTGGGTCTCCAGTATCCTCCACACCGTCCTCTCTGCCGTTCAGACTCCGCGCTTAGCTCCCACTTCCATGTGGGAACCTGCCACGTTCGGTTTCCGTTTCTGCGTCACGTCACGTGGGATAACAGTCTCCAGTTCCCCACCAGCTGCTTCAGCAGCCGTTGTTTTGCTCTTTCTTCTGGCTGAGTCATATTCCGCGGTGCAGGACGTTTTCACGACCCACAGACCAGCCCATGGGCTTTGAGCTGGTGCCGCGTCTCTGCAGATACTCTTGTGCATGCTAGGTGTCCCTGAGAGTGGCAGGGTAAGAAGCAAGATAGGCTCGCCAGGGCGCCGGAAGCGGACGGTGTCACCTCCCTGGACGTGCCCCCCTGAGCTCAGGCACCGTTCTCTCCAGGTGAAACTGGTCAGCATCGACGCGGCAGAAATAGCGGACGGCAACCCCTCGCTGGTCCTTGGGCTGATATGGAACATCATTCTCTTCTTCCAGGTAAGTGCGTCTCCCTTCCGCCCTCGTGGCCAGGGTCTTGAGTCTGCCGCGCGGCACAACAGCGAGAGACTCATTCACGGGAGACCGTGGGACTTGGTTTCTGGCAGGCTTTGTCTTCGGCGGATCTGGTTGTTCAAATGCTTCTGTCCCCGGGATTTTGAAAGAGGGCTGCGAGCCTTGTTCTCGAGAAGAGACTGTCTATCCTCTCAGGCCTTGGAGAGTTAGATATCTGCTTTGGAAAAAAGCTTGGTCCTAAAATGTCACGAGAACCAGGGAAATACCCTCCCGGCCAGAAACTGAGCTTGGCCGTGTCTCTTCTCAGATCACTCGAGCGCTTGGCCGAGACCGGGCTGAGGGTGCCCGAGGAGAGGAGCACCCGCGACGGGAGCCCTCGTGGCTCTGTCTCTCCAACTCGGGCCTCTGTCTGGAGACGCAGCCTGGATGGGTGGCCGGGGGAAGAAGGTGGCATTGTAAGTCGCGCTCAAGTTCATGTCCCCGGAGAGGAGGGGTGCGCTGGCCCCTCGCCTCCCGAAACGAGCCTCCTTGCCGCAGAAAGTCACCCGCCGGGGAGCCCTGCTGGGGCTTTGGCTCCGCGCTTGCTTTTCAGAGCGGCCTCCCCACCCACACACAAGGCTGGGAACACAGAGCCCCCTCCTCTGGGAGCCTTGAACTTGAGACACACACGGAGGCTGTCCCTCTGAGCCTTGGTGTCCTTGCCTGAGACGGGAGCAGGGGGCCTGAGACGTGACGGGCATCGAGAACAGCCATGCGGGCAAGCCCGCCGCCAGCCGAGACGGGGCGTGAGCAGGCTTCGGTGGCCAACGTGTGTCTTTGAACTTCATGAGAGGTTCTGGAACCATCCCACAGCCATGGTGAAAGCCAAGACCTCAAACCTACCCTAAACAAGTGAATCCACTTATTTAACAAATGTCTAGCGAGCTGCCCTGAGGTGCCCAGCCCTCCTGACCCTCTGGGATCACACACAGCTCAGTCCCACGTGGTAGACCTCTGGGACCGGCCCTGACCGAGGGAGGTGTGAGCAGGGTGTCGTCAGATCTCCAAGCAGGGGTAGCAGCTAACTCAGACGGGGGAGAGAGGTGAGGAGAACGTCTGGAGGAAGCGACGTCAGAGCTGGGTTTTGAAGGATGAGTAGGAGTATGCTAGGACAGTTCTCAAACGGACTGTGCATATGAACCGCCTGAGGGTGGCGTCTATACCAAAGGCTGGCGCAGGGCTTGGGATTCTGTGTTTTTCACGAACGCCCCATGATAGGAGTCCTATGGTGGAGGGAAGGGATGTCCAGGCGGCAGGGCTGGGGTGAGCAGAGGCTTGGAAGAGCATGGTGGGCCCGGCTCGGTGGCTCAGCCCGTCATCCCGTGCCTTGGGAGGCCGAGGTGTGTGGATGGCCTGAGCCCGCGGGTTCAAGACCCGCCTGGGCAACTTGGCGAGACCTCATCTCTACCATAAATAAAAAATCAGCCAGGCGTGGTAGCGCACGCCTGTAGTTCTGGCCCCTTGGAAGGCTGAGGCGGAAGGATCCCCGGAGCCCAGCGGGTCGAGGCTGCGGTGGCCGGGAGTGGCCATTGCACTCCAGCCTGGGCGACAGAGTGAGTCTGACTCCAAAAAAAAGAAAAAGAAAGAGCATGGTGCGTTCTGGGAATGGCAGGCGGTGAGGGGGTGGGGCAGGCAGAGACTGGTGTGCAGCGGCAGCCAGGCCTGGAGAGCTCCCAGAGGAGGCGGTCTTCCCTCGGGGTGTGACTGCGCGCACCACAAGCCCCGTGAAACAGTCAGGCCATCGCGGCACGGCCATTGGAAAGGGCTTCCCTTAGTTGGCCGCGGTGGCGCACGCCTGTCGTCCCAGCTACCCGGGAGGCTGAGGCGGGAGGGTCGCTTGGTGTCCTGAGTTCCCGGCTGCAGCGAGCTGTGATTTCGCCCTGGCCCTCCAGCCCGGGCAGCAGAGGGACGCCTTGTCTCTGAAAAAGGAAAAGAAAAAAGACGGCTCTCTCCGCCTTCGGCCAGCGGGGCTGCCGGGCTGGTGCCCCCGGCCCCGCTCGCCTGGCCACGGTTCAGACGCGAGGCCGGCTGGCGGGAGGGCCGGGCCGGGCCTGAGACGCCATTTTCCTTCCAGATCAAGGAGCTCACAGGGAACCTCAGCAGGAACTCCCCGTCTTCCAGCCTGTCCCCCGGCTCGGGGGGCACCGACTCGGACTCGTCCTTCCCGCCCACGCCCACCGCCGAGAGGAGTGCGGCCCTCTCCGGGAAGGACCAGCGCAGAGCCATCAAGGCCCTGCTGGCGTGGGTGCAGAGGAAGACCCGGAAGTGAGCCGCCCCCCGCCCCCTCCCCCGCACCCCTTGGCCGGCCTTCCCACCCCCTTCTCACCCCCTCCCCCCACCCTCCCCACGCTCTATCGGCTGTTCCAGGCAGAGGGCAGCGTGCCCGGCTCCCGGGTGGGCAGAGGAGGGGGCTATTTTTTTCTTTTTGAGTCGGAGTCTCACTCCGTCGCCCAGACTGGAGTGCCGTGGCCTCCCCCAGCCCCTGCAGCCTCGCCCTGCTGGGCTCCGGCGATCCTTCCGCCTCCGCCTTCCGAGGAGCCGAAACCACAGGCACGTGCTACCACACCCGGCTAATTTTTTTTTATGGTAGAGATGAAGTCTCCCCAAGTTGCCCAGGCGGGTCTCGAACCCACGAGCTCAGGCGATCCACTCACCTCAGCCTCCCAAAGCGCGGGATGACAGGCTGAGCCCCCGAGCCCGGCCGGGAGGGGGCTCCGATCATTGTCACTTGGAGCCTCTGAGAATGTTTAGTTTGCAGAAAACCCGTGAGACGATTCGCTTGCAAAGCCAAGCCGCTCTCCTGGGGTAACGCCCAAGACGGGCGTGTCTCTGGGGGTCTAGTGACACTCCCGTGCCACACTCAAGGCATCCTCCAGAGTCTGTGCCTCCGAAAAAGAATAATACCAAGCCGGGTGTGGTGGCGCGTGCCTGTCGTCCCCACTGTTCAGGAGGCCGAGGCAGGAGAATCGCTTGAGACCCGGAGGTGGAGGCCACGGTGAGCTGTGAGCGTGCCACGGCACTCCTGCCTGGGCGACCCCGTCTCAACTAATGGTAACAACAGGTGTGACATACCCAATTCGGGGCGCCCAGCTCCCCAGCACACGGGTCGGTTGAGAGCCTCGCTGAAGGAGAGGGGTGTCTCAGGTGAGGGGCCAGCTGGCGTCTCGGTGGCGGTGGTGACTTCTTGAATAGCTACGCGGGTGACAAATGTCGCCGTACACCATGGCCAGGAAAACGCGTGCCTCTGGGAGCAGGTGAAATTTAGATATGGCCCGCGGCTATGTGGACAATGGCCATGGGCTGGGTCACCGTTCCTGCGTGGGTGACACACGCCGGGAATGTAAGATGCTGACCCCGGGGGCGGCGGGGGCAGGGCGGACGGGGACTCTGTTCTGTGTTGGCTCTCCTTCCCTCCCCCCCTCGCTCTCCCACCCTTCCCTCCGAGCTGGGGTCTCACCCAGGCTGGAGTGCAGTGGCAAGATCGTGGCTGACCACAGCCTCGGTGTCCTGGGCTCAGGCCATCCTCCCGCCTCAGCCTCCCAAGAAACTGGGATCACAGGTGTGCGTCGCCACACCTGGCTAGTCTTTTTTTATTTTATTTTTTTACTTTTTAACTGATTGCTAAATAAAAAGGCATTAGGAGCTGGGCTCGGTGGCTCAGCCTGTCATCCCGTGCCTTGGGAGGCCGAGGTGAGTGGATGGCCCGAGCCCGCGGGGTCGAGAC